GCCACCCCCCCCCGGAACCTCAATTTCCCATCCAAGCCAGCCTAGCGGGGACCAATAGGCGGGCAGCATTTCGGCCACACCCACAACCCGCGCTTTAGCAAGATATGGTTGAAAAAGATGTTTATTAAACTTGTTCAAAAGATACATTTGTAAATTGTTTTCTGAAATTCTGTTTCTTTGAAGCAGCGTCTTTGAATAGTTGGAGCAAAATAACTACCGAGTCGAGTTAAACCATTTCTTCACTGGGCTTCTGGTGCTTACATCGGCCGCGCGGCGTGCAAAACAGTATCTTAGGCCAAGTCTTTGTCTGTGAAAATGTAAGAAAAGAGGCCATGCAGTCGTGTCCTGCAGATAACCTTGTTGTCCCGATTAAACTTTGTTACCCAGGCGGTATGATCTCGAAAATATGAGTGGCAGCATCTCGATACCCTTTTTAAAGACAAGGTTTGATTTGCCGATTCCGAGTTTCCAGTGCTGAAGCCGCCGACACACCAAGTGTTGACGTACCTTCGGCACTGGAGATCTAGGACGGAAGCCGCCTCACCTCTGTATACCGAGTGCTGAGAAAGGAACCCGTAACTTCGGTACTTGCATTATTTCCACCCCAAATACACCAATTCTTACATTGTTTATCTGACATTTCCAACTCAGATTGCCTGCCGCGCCGTACGGAAGGATGCTGTTCAACCCCATTGTCGAATGGAATCGACCGCAAAGTGGGCGTGGCGCCGAATGCTGGTCACCCATTGGTCGCCGCTAGGCTATGTGGATGCGAAATTGATGTAGCCCCCCCCCCAGCAGTCAGAAATAGCCATTTAAAGTCTTCACAGGAGCCAACTAAAGAAAAGATATTGCTATATCTGCCCTGAATGTGTTACTGCACTATGTTTTCTGTCAAAGAAAAGGGGTTTGGGGTATTGGGGGAACTTTTAGCTCTTTTTTCTCAGCTGAATGTGTGTAAATCTTGGGAATTTCATTGGTACGGTATGTAAGGTAGCTGATAGAAAAGTTGTCAAAAGTAGAAAATTTCCTATTGAAAAGTTGTAATTTCACATCAAAGTAGTAGAACAGACTTTAGTTATCACTGATTGGCAGTTGTAGACAAACAGACCCCCCTGACATTTGAAAAAAAGTCATGTGATATTGGAAGGTATGCTGTACAAGCCTTCAGTACAGGCCTAGAGTGTGGGCATACAACTACCCCTGAATTCCCAAGGGGGCTATCAATGAAGTCCATCTTTGGGAAATATGATCGCACCCCCCCCCCAGTGTATCAGTAAAAGGGGGGTGGGTTTTCCTTAACTCTTCTTCATCACCCTATAGAAGGGGTGACGCGGGTTGAAGGGCATGCGCACAAGTTGCTGGGTGAGAGACCTCAAAATTAAAATGAGCTAAAGAACTTTAAAACCCTTTCTTGGGTGGGATTTTTGTTGAATTCTTGGCATTTTTGTGGTGTATTGTACTGTGTAGGGTTGTGAGTGAATGTTTTTGCAAAAAAAATGAAGTTTTTCCATGCAGTTGCCTTGTTATGGGCTTGTCTGTTGCCATACACCCCTCCTGCCTAGTGCCTTGGTATCGACCTAGAATATGGGGTCAAAGTGCACGGACTCTTATAAACAAGGCTGTACCTCGAGACTAGCCGTCCACTTTTTTCCGAAACTTGTTGTAGGTACATATTATTAAATTGGCTAACACGTGAAGGTGAGTTTGTGTGACAAAAACTTCGTAAACTAGAGATATGATGCCCATTTTCATGTCTGATTAAGCATATGTTTCAATGGAGAACCGTTTCAATGGTGTCTCCCCTGTAAGTGGCGAGGGTCGAACGTATGTTAGGTTTCGCCCCCCTCCCCCTTTAATTCAACGATATTCACATCCCGAAAATGCCTACAAATTATCATCCTACTGCGGTTCTTCTTCCACAGAAATGGTCTTAAACTATTGCAATCAACATTAGAATACTTTTCTATCCGTTTCTAAGCCTTACCTGCTTCCTATGATGGTTTTTCTCTTCACGTAAATAGGAACTCGGGCACCTTTGTCCTTCTGTCGTCTCGTGAGGTCAGAGGTTAACTTGATCTGGGTCAAGGGTGAAATTGTTGGCCTGATTACCCATGTAGTACATTTGACGTCAGTTGGCACGTTACATTTTCCTCATAATGTCAACGTTCCTTGTTTAAAACCGACCACATTAACAACGTAACAAGCGTCTGACGTTTGTTTCTGATCTACATTTAAAAGACATATTTTAAGGGAATGAATGTCAAGCCAAACTGTTTTGTCTGAATCTTGATTTCTGTGTTTTATGACCAACTCACCACCTCTGACAATATTCCATCCAAGGAAAAAAAGGCAACACAGAAGGAAACATCATGTTCAAGGTACATAACGATTTAATTGTGTTAGCGGAAAGATTCTATTGATAGATCTTCTAAAAGTAATACAAAACAAACAGGATTTTGAACTCATATACAACATAACGCCTACGTTTTCACAACTGTAAAATACTTCCCGCTATGGGAAACTAAAGCAAGTCGGTCATTTTACACCGATGCAAATTAGCATAAAGATTTAACTACAAACCAAACGCTAGCTTCCTGACTTAATGTTAGTCAAAAGATATTATTGTGTCTGTAAGACATACAGACAAACACTTAGACAAAGTGAAGAATTAACAGGAAATCAAAGCTCCATCAATGGCTTCATTTCAAACAAACTCAACGTTACCTTCTACCTTTCAACTACTGTTTACAATCACTTACCGATGTTAAATACTGTATATATACATTATCCAATCAATACCAACAAATTTTGGTGTTCTACCACAAATTAAGTTTACTGTTCAAAAATTACAAATCTGGTTATCAAATGATGGATTCTTTTCCAAAATATATAATTGATAGTTAAAGAAAGTATATTTGCCTGGCTAA